CTGTACTATTTATTACCAAAACAAAATAGTAAGTGTATGTTCCTGACAACTCTCAATTATAACTTCCATATCACCAGACTTATATTCACAAATCAATGCACTTGCTGATGTGCTGATTTTCCAAAACAAACTTGATCATCAAGAGATGATGGTTCTTCAAAAAAAACAACACCCAATCTTCCTATGTCTCCTTTAGGTCAGTCAGAAGGACAATTTCCATCCTTATGAAGGCAGTCAATGCCTTCTCAGCCTAAAGCTACCACAAAAAGATGGACCTTTGGCCCTCTAGCATTCTTTAAGAATAAGAAATCAAAAGTACTAATAAAAAATCAAAAGTCTTGTGCAGGGAAGAATAAGGTAGGATAAAGAATTAAAGATAGGTAGAAAGGAGACAAGGAAATTACAGTTTTTGGATTTTTGGTACCGGGGATTGAACTCTGGACCTTGTACTTGCAAGGCAGGTGACAGAACCACTGAGCTAAATCCCCAGCAAAGTTAGTTTTTAAATTGTACTTTCAAGAAACATTGCAGGCCCCAGCCCCCTTTCCTTGGATGTGAGCGCAGCTGCAGGCGCACAGGCTGAGACTCTGTGGACCTGCGACTCGAGCATCCCAGGCGATGAATAATAGCTCTGTAAGTCTGCAATAAAAAATAGGCTCCAATAAAACTACACTGCAAAAAATGGGAAAGAAACAAAATGGAAAAAGTAAAAAAGTTGAGGAAGCAGAGCCTGAAGAATTTGTAGAAAAAGTACTGGACTGTCATGTAGTGAATGGGAAGGTGGAGTATTTTCTGAAGTAGAAGGGATTTACAGATGCTGACAATACATGGGAACCTGAAGAAAATTTAGATTGTCCAGAATTAATCAAAGCATTTCTTAATTCTCAAAAAGCTGGTAAAGAAAAGACAGTACAAAAAGAAAATCTTTATCTGACAGTAAATCTGATGATGGCAAATCAAAGAAGAAGAGTTGCTGCTGATAAACCTAGAGGATTTGCTAAAGGTCTTGATCCTGAATGAATAATTGGTGCCACAGACAGTAGTGGAGAATTGATGTTTCTCATGGAATGGAAAGATTCAGATGAGGCTGACTTGGTGCTGGCAAGAGAGGCAAATATGAAATGTCCTCAAATTGTAATTGCTTTTTATGAAGAGAGACTAACTTGGCATTCTTGTCCAAAGATGAAGCTCAATAACTTACATCATTTATATATATATTTATGTATATATAAAATGGGTCTTGGTGTTTGATTCACTAGTGTGAAAAAAACAGCTTTCTAATGAAAATCAAGTTTAACATGTTGGTTTTGAAAGTCTTTGGGGACATTGTTGGGTTTTGTTTCACATCAATAGCACTGGTTACTTTGAACAAATAAAAAGGTTTCTGTAGTTGCTTCCTTTATCAGAAAACAGCATTTGATAGCCTGATATATTTCCTCTGCTTTTCTAAATATTGGGAAAATTATCCATAGTCAAACTCAAAAACAGAATTCATTTTTAGCTCACATGCTTAAGAACCATTCTGAGTTTTTTGTTTGTGTGTGTATAAATAAAATACTTATGTAAATGGTTTTTGTTTTGTTTTTAAACATTCACCAAAACAAAAACTACGGGTGATAAGCTCATGTTTGAGATGCTATCATTCTGAGCAACCTCAGAAATAAATCACAGTTAAATTGAAAGTTTTCCTGAAGCCATAACTTTTCAAGTTAAATAGATGATTCTGTGGTTAATTGGACAGCTTAAAGTGGGTATTTTCAAAGGAGCCATATCAGAATCTATATCTGTGTGTTTAGTTACAAAAATAAAGCAGTTTGCTTGCAAAATTCCTGAAATAAAATTGTATCACTACCAACAATTTCCCCACCCAAATAAGGTAACTAGTCAATCTGGTTTGTTTGAATTCGCTAAGGAAGACTTGTTAAGGGAACATTAAAGATTGCTCAGGTCGGGGATTTAGCTCAGTGGTTTCAGCGCCTGCTGCACAAGTGCAAGGACCCAAGTTCAATCCCTGGTACCAAAAAAAAAAAAAAGATTGCTCATGACCTATTCCCTCACAACAAGTTGAAATCTGTATTTAAAGTCAGGATTCATGAATGTCTAAGACTTGGTTCATGGAAACCTACTGAGTGGCTAGAGGTGGTCACAATTTAGGACCTACTAGAATAAATGAGTGAACAAACTTATAATCTAAATCACTGACCTGCATTTTTTTCTTGACCCCAACTTGTTCCTTACATGTAGGCTCAATCTTCAATATTCGGGTTACTGTTTCAGCAGAAGCCAGAAGAATAACTTTGTACTAGTCAGAATGTTATCCTACTATATATTGTTTACTTTATTGCAAATAATGGTGAGCAGTGGTCAATAAATACTTTTATATTAAAAAAAAAAGAAACACTGCAGCTTTGGGACACAAAAGGTATTCAACTATGTTTCTTTTCAGAGAAACTCACTAAAAAACAAACAAACAAACAAAAAACCTTCCTAAGGATCTTAAAGCTGCAATAAGCCTATAAATTGTGACCCTTGCTTTTCACGTATAAATTGCTCCCCCCCCCCCCTTCAAGGAAGCAGCAGTATTCCTGGGCAGCAGATCTCAACTTCGAATACGTGTGAATGGTTTACATTCTAACCTAGTCACATGGGTAATCTGACAGGCAGCGGGAATACACCTAGCTCACACATCCTGATGACACCCTCAAGACCACACAATAACCCCCAACTCAAGACCATAATGTACCTCTCTATTGAGGGCCAACACTCTATTCTCTCTGAGTGTGCACAGTTAGAATTTTGCCTAATTATTCTCTTTATGCCTCTCACAGATGTGTCTTGAAAATTCTTTTCCTGTGATGGAAGTCAATGAACCTACCCCATGGGTGGGGTGAGCTGGGGTCTCCAACTCCTCTTTGGGGGACCTCCTCAGACTCTATCCAAGGACAATGAGACAGTGGGGCTCTGGTTTGCTCCTGTGCTC